TCTACGTAGACCTCCACCTCCTTATGCATCATATCGTGAAATAGGGTGACCATTGCTCTTTGGTACGTTGCCCTGGCGTTCTTCAAGCCGAAAGGCATTACCTTGTAACAAAATGTCCCCCAAAGGGTAATGAAGGAGGTCTTACTTTTATCTTCTTCTTTTATCCGAATTTGATTGTAACCAGAAAATCCATCCATAAAGGAAAATAGCTCAAATCCCGCGGTACTGTCGACCAACACATCGATGTGAGGCAGCGGGAAGTCATCTTTCGGACTTGCTCGATTCAGATCGCAGTAGTCAATACAAACCCTGACTCGACCATCCTTCTTCATAACAGGGACTACATTGGCGATCCAGTCAGAATAGCACGACACTTCTATGAAGCCCACTTTTAACAACTTCATGACTTCTTCTTCGATCTTCTTGGATAATTCGGGCTTTGTTCTTCTGAGCCTTTGTTTCTTTGGCGGGATACTCGGATCAGTTGGTAGAGCATGTTCTACAATTTCTCTATCTAACCCCGGCATATCCGCATATGACCATGCAAACACATCTTGGTATTCTTTTAAAAGGTCAACCATCCTTTTAATCTTGATTTCAGAAAGGCCAGCTCCAATCTTGATTTCTCTAACATTCTCCGAATCGCCCAGATTTATGGTGATTGTAGGCTCCGCGGTCAACGGCTTAGACTCTTCGTGCCAAACCCAATCTTGTTCGATGCTTTTCCGATCACGGTCATCCTTGTCATTATCGGTCCCAAAGGAATTTTCGTCAAGCAAATCCAACTCACATGTACACCTATCATGATAATGTGAAATGTTATGCCTGAGATGCCACAAAGAAGGTTAGTGATTAAATTGGCAAATGTTATTACAACTAATGATATGCATGCGTTTTGAAATCATTTTGAAAGAGTTTTTGAAAATGAGGGATCCGTCCTCATATCCTTGGACGTCCTTATTCGCAAATGATTTTGGAAACCAGGAAGCGTGCGGAAGTCCAGGCCTCAAAGCATCATCATCAGTCTGGTTTGGGTACTTCCACACGTCCTTAATAAAACATGATCATGATTTCATTAATAAAATGAGGCCATTTACATGACTCAAGGTCTTGGACCGACGGCTCGCAGTCCAAGACTTTGATTACAAAGAGAAACAACCCTAGACCTAAACAGACCTCCCATGGAAGGGATGAACACAGACTTAAACAAGACAAAACAGGAAAGAAAAGCAGCATCCCTACTCAAAAGGGTTGGCAGTAGCAACAGAAAGCTCGGCCTCTTCATTTTCTATGACAGCACAAGCAAACTCCCCCTCGAATAAATCAACGAGACCAAGAACGGCCTCCTCTTCCTGTAGCAGCTTGGGTGGACCCGGGAAGATTTCTTTCAACTCCGGAAGAAGTAAGCCCTTCCGACCTTCTCCTAACCCAAATAAACTCCCCCGACCTCCGCAACTTCCGTGATTAGCCAGGCCTCCGTAGTCACCACAGTTTTATTTCTTTCTTGGCCATCATAATTAGCATGGCCTCTACGACCACCACGGCCCCCATGCTGACCTCGACCTCCGACACTGCCTCGTCCTTCATGGTTATCTCAGCCACCAGAATTGCCTCCATGATAACCTAGGCCTATCCTTTTGCGCCACTTGGAGACCTGAAGGGGTTCTTTGATACCTTGACCATGCAGTCCCAGGCCGGTTCCGGGGACATGCCCATTTTCGAGCAACACCTTGCTCGACATGATTGAAGGCTTAGCCATTTCTAGGTCTCGCATGATGGTTCCAACGGGCACATGGATCATCGAGACTAACTCCAAAGTTTGATAACTTGATTCAGCCTTGTTCTCGGGTTCCACGTATGGGATCGCAGTGTCGTGAAAGACCTTAAAGTCAGTTTCTCCATGAACAGTTACCAGCTTCCCATCAACAATGAATTTGACCTTTTGGTGCAGGCTCGAGGGTACGGCTCCGGCGGCATGTATCCAAGGTCGTTCCAGTAGAAAATTGAAGGCACTAGGAATATCGAGGACTTGGAAGCTGACCAGAAAAAGGACTGGACCAATTAGCAGTTCGAGCTCAACCTCACCAATTACTTCCTTCTTTATACTGTCAAAAGCACGAACGGTAGATTTAGATACCAGCATTTTCTCTTCATTTACCCCCAGACGACGAAGGGTGGCAAGTGGGCAAATGTTTAATGCCAATCCATTGTCAATCAGCACTCTCGCCACCATTTTATTTCGACACTTAACCGAGATGAGCAGTGCCTTAATATGATTGCGACCTTCTAGAGGAAAATCTTTATCGGCAAAAGAAATCTGATCTTTCAACAAGATAGACCCGACAAACTCCTCCAATTGGGTGTCATTAATAGTTTCGAGAACGTGCACTTTATTTAGAACCTTGAGTAGTGCATTTTTATGTTTCTCGGAGGATTTGAAAAGATCCAGGAGTGATATCTGGGCCGGCATCTTCCTCAGCTGATTGACAACATCAAATTCGATAGTCTTAATAATTGCTAAAAATTGTTCGGCCTCTTCATTTGAAATAGCCATTTTCTCAACCACCTTGGTGGGATCATAACATCGACCCGAGCGAGTGACTGCATCGATTTCACTTACCTTGTAACTCCAAGGGACCGCCTTAGCATCGTAACTAGGGGCCATTTCCACTATTATGTCTTCTTCGTCCTCGGGCGAGAGTTCAATCGTCATCGGTTCCATGACATGATCATCGACCTCTAGGGTAGTGAACTCTTTTGCCATAAGGTTGATGACCACATGCTCGACATCTCGTTCATCGGGATCTGATAGATCTTCTTCGACTGATAGATCGATGACCACGGGGGTAATCATGTTGACCATCTCCTCCTCAGGCTCGGGTGGGTCGTCCATATCTCCCCACCCATCAGGAACAACATCCTTGGGATCGATGAAAAAACTGGGTGGCGGTGAATACTTCACAAGGTAGTCGAATTTGCTGCTAGGTTGACCCAGTGTGTCAACCACTTCCCCATTCTCGTGAGCGAGCTTTATGAACTCACGATTCCAATCCACATTGCTAGCTTGAGGCCCAAGATCATCATACAAATTCTCTCCTTCACTGTCGATCACAATTAGACTCTCCGACACACCCTCATTAGTTGGCTCGTTAATTTCTGTAGGTTCAACAGGTGTCTCCTCCGTCTCCTTCTCACAAAATGAGTCAATAACAGCCGTCATGGCGGTCATATTATCTTCCTTCATACTATAGATTACTCTCATGTCCACCATCCGAGTGATACATTTTAATTTTTCTTCCATCGGAATATCCTCCCCATCTTCAAAGTGTCCAACTGACATTAGTAATTTATAGAGTCTATGAACATCCACATTAAAGGTTTGCTTACTCTCATCACCCTTCTCAATAACCACGTTGACATTCTCAACATGATTAGGCAACGGGTTTTGTTGAACATTAGGGTTTGGATCCTTAAAGGATAAAATGCCTTTGTCGAGCAGATTCTGAACCTTGATCTTAAAAGTGAAGCAGTTGTCCACATCATGACCCTTTTCGCCTCTATGGAACTCACATGACTTTGACAAATCGAACCCGGGGAATCTTGGAGGGTTATCCCGAGGCACTTCTTTAGCTATCATTCCCCTTCTCAACAGCATGGGCAACAACTTGGATAGTGGCCTAGGCAGGAGAGTGAACTGCCTCGGTGCTCTCCTTTTAAAATCATAATTCTGATATGCCCTTTCTCGAAACACAGAGAGGTCTTGAGAGGATGAGGCAAGGGGCTTCGTCGCAACTGGCGCTTGTACATATCGATCTCCACATCCTTTTCTTTTCTGTTCGGGACCTTCCAACTAGTTCCTTCGTTCAATCTACCATCATGCATGGCCCCCTCTATCCTCTCTCCGACATCTACCAGCTGAGAGAAGGTCAAACAGCCGGAACCCACCAACTTTAAATAGAAATCATTAGGCAAGGCTTTGAGAAAAAGATCCAGTAGCTCATTTTCACTGAGCGGGGGTCGAACTTGAGCTGCGAGAGTACGCCATCTTTGAGCGAAGGCTCTGAAGGACTCACTTCTTCTCTTTTCAGTTCGAGTCAACACTTCGCACGTGGGGGCTATCTCGGTATTGTACTTGTATTGCAGGACGAACGCCTAAGCTAACTCCTCCCACTTCTCGAACTTCTCGGGCTTCGACAACATGTACCATTGCAATGCAGGCCTGTTAGACTCTCTTGGAAGGTCTGAACCATTAATGGGACATTCTGGGCATACCTCGCCATCCTGTTCAAATAGTACTTCAAGTGGATCTTTGGGTCTCCAGTCCCATCATACTTAGTGAAATCAAGAATCTTGAACTTCTCAGGAAAGCTCATCTGTGCATATCGAGATAAATCCTCGATCATATGCTCTTTGTATCCTTGTAGCGCACGGAGTTTCTCTTCTATCTTCGCGAACCTTTTGTTGTGTTCTTCCTCCAAACGGGCGGTGACGGCTTCCGAAATGGGGTCTAGTTCGACCACTACGGGTGTAGAACCCAATGCCTCCTCAGTAACATTCCTTCTTGCGGGTCCTTCTACGGGCTTGGGAACAGCTTGAGGTGCGACTTGACCAGCATTTGGCACTGCTAACGCGGTCCTCATATCATTCGCGAATTGAGTGAGTTGAGCCGCAAGATCATTGATCTTGTCGTCGAGAGCAGCGAAACGGGCGTTTTGCTCTTCAATATTCATTTGCGTGGCCCTTGATCGTGTCCGAATTGGCGATTGCCTCGAAGCCGTAGTTTCGGCACCTGTTTTTTAATAAAATAAAACAAAAAGAATGAAATTAGTACGCGGTGAAGTGACAGCACGAAAGTTGCGTACCTTTTAATTTTATATTTTCTTACGATGAAACTGAGATAAGAAACTTTTTGCACAAGCTGCATCTCATGTAAACGGTTTCTTATAAAAATTTCACTGTAAGAAATTATACAATTAAAGGGAGTAACATATAGTGATTGATTAAAATGCCCATGTCATGTTCCATTCAACCTACAAAAGAGGGAATTTCACTAATTACATTAAAATTTGTGAAAGGAGATCCCTATACATCCGCTAAATAGTAAAAAGCATACCTAGACATTTGCCCTAAAAGTTCATGAAAAGAAAAAGCAATATACATCAATTCCAAGATAATTAAAAGAACACCCTAGAAGAAAATAATAGAACATGACTAGTCTTGGATATAAGGCCTCTTCACAGCATGTTGCGGACGCGCTTGTAAGCTTTCTGCCAATGTTCTGCCTCAGCCAGGGCTTCGTCCCTTTCTCTTATGATCCGCCCCATTTGAGTCTCCTTGGGGGTTGCAATCACGGGAAATTTTGGGATGGTGACGGCGAGCTCGGGCTCGACACGTCGCGCTATGTATTCCTTCGATGCATGGTGTTCCTTCATGGATCCTTCCAAGTCGGTGGCTCGCTCCACATCCTTCGGTTGGTAGCAGTAAAGTAAATCGATGATTCGTTTCATCTCGTTCTTCAATTCCTCGAGTTGGTCTCCCTTGATAACCCCATTGCGAAAATCGAAACGAAATAAACCCGACTTTAGAGGAGGAGGAATTTCTTGAAGCACATAGAATTGACGGGCGGCTCTTAAAGGATAATAAGAAGTCGATCCCGTCAAACCTAAGAGTGGAATTGGGTCACTATGGCCGCTTGTAAGACATACTTTAGGAAAATGAACCCAAAGGGCTTGCCAAAGAACTTGTTTAGGTGTAAGATTCTCGAGGAAGTCTACCCAATTATGAAAGGTCCAAGGACGAAGGAATTTTTCTATCTCTTTGAATTGGGTAAGGGGATTTATGTCCTTACTAACATGAGGAATGGCTAAGTTTCCACCGAATTGTTTCAAGTGAGACACAAACCAGACTTGGAGAATACCTAAGGGGGCTCTTAGGGCTACACGCTTGTCCTTCTTGAAACGATTGAGAGAGATAAACATTTCGGCGAGGATCATGTTGGTAAACCCTTTGAGGACGAGGATCCCATCGATAACATGGATGACAGTGGGGTCCATTGTTTTTTGAGTGAAGGGAAAGATGACAAACCCGAAGAAGGCTAATAGAAAAACTTTAGTGGATTCTGCTCTAGGACTCGAAAGGAAGCTATGGAATCGTTGTTCAAGGAAAGCTAGTGGGAGACCCTTGGAGTTTCTATTGAGGAGTGTCCTAATTTCGGGCGGCGGGACCCCTAGAATTTGACTCAAACGAGGGACTGGATCCACGCCTAAAGAAGGATCGACGACACTAAGGGAAGGGACATCGCCTATGATGATTTGAATTTCCTCCAAAGTCGGGGTTAATTCGTGACGATCAAACACAAAGGTTGAGGTTTCGGGGTTCCAAAAGTGGGCCAAGGCTTTAATCAATGTCACTTGGGGTTCTATATGTAAAAGAGAAAGGAGGTGGCCGATCTTCTTTTCCACGTAGTTCTTCTTGCTTGGGTCGAGAGTATCCCACATGTCCAACAACACTCGCTTCGGGATCGGGAGGATTCGAAGTTCATCGAGGCCCATGATATCTAAGTCTAGGGGCATTTAAATCAATCACTATTTATTACAAAGTAAATTTAAATTCGCATGGAAAAAGGGGTTGCGATTATTGAATGCGAAGGAGAGACAAACCTTTACCCAAAAATGGTGGATATGTCAAACACAAAAACAAGTCGTATGCCGACTCGTGAAGCTCACTAAAGGTGGGAGTTCTAAAGGCTAAAGGTCCCCATCCCAAATAGATCAAAAGAGTTTTCCCCATTCCGTACTTACGTTGGACAGTCCTCTTTATCACTATTTGAAAATGGGCGGAACCAAAAGGGGATAGCCATGGGTCCTTCCCTGCACGGTTTCCACACTTTTGGCACCTCCTATGGATTTCCTAAGGCGATCGGGGTTTTAGATCGCGGGTTGTGTGTGCAAGGTGTAGTGCTAAAGCAGGTAAAAGCATGCACGACAGTTAATATCAAAACAACACTTCAATTTTCATTCACATACACGTACACCCTTTACACCAACCTGCAAAACAAACATGTCAACAATCACTCCACCCCTTATAACTCCCAACCTACAAAACCATTTAACACAATGTTAGTGGACTTACCTTAGCCTTCACAGTGCGCTGCCATAAGACCACGTTAGTTAACAAACAATCAAGTTATATTAGGCCTAAGTCCTCAAGTCCCCAGCGGAGTCGCCAAGCTGTCGCGACCTACCCGTCCCGATCGGGTTTAGGCCAAGAGGTATTTGTCGATGGATATGAACAACGATTGATTCGTTTGAATGGTGAACCAAATGGTTCATTAATCCAATGACCGAGGTACTCCCAAGCCTCATACCCCGCGCGACGAGAATTTTTTAATTTACACATTTGATTGGAGTCGCCACTAGCTATGATCAAGGGTCGGCTAGAAACCCTGATCGAGACGCGGGAGTGTCGTCTCGATACGCGCGAAAACCAGAGATTCTAAAGTTCGGGGAATTGATTACACTAGCGATCTAACTAGTGCCCTTTCGGTACCTAAACTTGAATACTCGCAAACTAACGTACCGGGCAGCTTATCGAAAAACTACGATTCCGCCTAACCATTCTAAAAATAGAAAACAACAATCAATTTATTAAAAGTGCGCAATCAGATAATCATAAAGAAAATAAACAATCAGCGACCTAGCATCGTCTCTAGAAAGAAAAAAGGCAATCAAAAGCCCTAAAGTAAAGCCCTAATGGCTTATCCGAATTTTGGAAATTTTTTAGAGGAATTTTCACATTTTTTTTTTATTTTTTTTGAGTTTTTTAACCTAAAATCTAGTGAAATTAAGCCCAAAACTAATTTCTGAACATTTCCTAATTTTCTGATTTTTTTTGGAATTTTTCGGAATTTTTCTGAATTTTTTAATTTTTTTAATTTTTCTAAAATTTTTAATATTTTTATTTAATTAATTTTTTTTGGGATTTTTAAACATTTTCGAATTTTTTTGGAATTTTTAATATTTTAATATTTTTTTGAATTTTCGAATATTTATATTAATAAAGAAAACCGGACCGGGTCTCCCGACCCGCCCGAGTTTTCAAAATTTGATTTCATATTCTATTTTTATTTTTATTTTTCTCTCTTTTCCTTTTCTTTTCTCTTTTTTTTTGTTTTTTTTTATTTTTTTATTTTTTTTCTCTCTTCTTCATCCCCTTCGTGTGCCCTCTGCCCAGAATTCCTTCCCAGGCGTCTTCATGCTTGGACCGCCACTGCGAACGCCTCCATCCCTAGAACCTCAACGAGACCACGCCACCTTCCGAGGCAAGCTTCCCCCAGATTCTAGACTACGACCGAATCACCTCCGGTCGGTCGACTGACTCCAAGTCACCGCCGGCCAGCTACTGACCGGCAGTTTCTTGATCGTCGGTCACCTATTCCGGCCCAAAAAACACTCCCCCCAGACCCACGCGACCAAGCCAGCGAACAAAACAACACAATCATATAAAAATGAGGAAGAATGGTCTAACTGTGGCGTGCCAAACCGTGTGCTTCGTTGGTGTTGGAAATGTCTCCGGCGAGGGAACACCTATACGCGGTCGACTCGGACAACATTAATACCCCACAAAATCACATGGAAAACAAAGAAATTTTGAAGTCAGTAACTACAATGGAACCGACCAAGCATATAACAAAGCTTTAGGGCGTCGGTTTTGCAAAAAGAATAGAAACTTCATTCGGGCATTTCATCGAGTATATGGCAGGCGTGGTTCATTGAGAGCTTTAGGCCGAGAGTCGAAGCAATATAGGGCTTAAACGTGATGTATGAAGATCCAAACAGCCGTATTTAACAACGAACATGTCTCGGTTTACACAAAAACGACCCAAAAAATGCAAGATCAAATTTGGCGCCCTAAGCTCAAAGAGGTTTATTGGGGCATTTCAACAAACAGGTGGGGTGCGCTTAAAACTAAGGGCGTCCAAGTCGATTTTTGTGGGATTCAGAGCTTATTTCTCGTTAAAAAACGTTCAATAACATCATTTGGGGAAGTATGGAACCATTTTCCTCGTTCTGTGGTGTCGAGCAAGCACCGAATGAGCTCGGTGAGCCCGGCACCCGAGAGGCAGGGGAGGGGGAAGCAAAACAGGGGAGCTGAAACTAAACCCACCTGGTTCGTCTCCGACCGAGATGAAGTGCGGCGACTGAGAACTTGATGGTACCGACGACGACTCGGGTTGATGGCCGGCAAACGAGTCAAACTCTCTTCCTTCGGGTACCACCCTTCCACTCTCTTGGTGTCTCCCTGTGCGAGGAGGTCGAACCACGCCAAAGAAGAAGGTGTTCGACTCTGGTTTTCGCAAACTCACAGTGCACGGCGGAGAAGGGGAAGAGATTTGTCCAGCCCCTCCTTGCTGATCAAGGGGGTCGGAACGCTCTCTTCACTACCCCTCGATCCTCTCCTTTTCCTCTCTGTTTTTTCTCTCCCGTAGCTAACGGTTTTCTCTTTCTCCCCCGGCTTTAAGGACGGCCAGTGGCGCGGAGCCGGCCGGCAAGCGCGCATGGCCCCCTGCCACCGCCAGTTGCCGTGGCCGGCCTGCGCCCGACCCGAGGATCACGCCGGTGTGCCCCGCGCCCCTCTGGCTTCTGCGTTCTTCTGCACTGTTCCTCCCCCGTACGTTCTGAAACGTTGACTGGGGAGGGGGGAGATGAACAAACGTGAGCCGGGCCGAGGGAAAGAGGGCCAGCCCGCTTGGAAAAAAAAAAAAGAAAAGAGGAGAAGATTAAAACAAAAATGGGCTGCGTAAAAATGAAAAGAAGAGGGAAAAAAGAATGGGCCGACAAACCCGGCCCGAAAATCCTTTTTTATTTTATTTTATTTTGTGTCCTAATAGACCCTATTAATGCAAATGTGCCTAATGTCTACATGTCATGTAATTCAATGAAAATATTTTTTGTTTAGTGGTTTAAAAATTAAACCCTAAAATTTTTTATGCGATAAAACCCTAAATGATTTGGGCAAAATTTAGGTGTCAATAGTAATCTAAAGTTATAAACCACTACTCATCGACAGACGCCATGGACGAGATCCGTCAAGCTCACGACTATAACATTTTTTCTCAAACAAGGTGACTTCAGAGAGAGAGTCAACAATGGGCCAGATTTGAGATAAGGATAAAAGTTGATTTTTTATGAAATTAAAGAAATTGAGGTTAGAATTATCACTCGACCTATAGTTTATTTTTATTTTTATTTTTTGGAATTAGCCCCCTTTTATGACACACGCACGGCCCAAAAGAATTGGAACAAGAACGGCTGGAACTCACTTTGCAAAGGAGACGCACTAGTCCAAAGATATTTAGGTTCTGGAACTGACAGTGACGAAGACAGGTAAAAGAAGCCTCTGTGTGCTCGAATAATTGTACCATTTGCTCGATGAAAACTATGTTATTTCTTTTTGGACTTCGAGTGAAGTTCGCTTCGGATGAAGAGAAAGCCATAGCTGGATCTTACCTGTTGATTAATTAATTTGCCTCTAACGGGGCAGTGCCAGCAAGTTTTTGCAGAATTTCGTACTCTCGAGTGGTTTGAATATTGGTAATCTTCATTGAGCTTTTTGAATCGTTTTGCTCGATGATTCCACCTTATCTCGGGGCAAAGCAAAGGTAAACGGGAGCTATGTGCGGAAGAACTAAAAAAAGAAAAAGAAAAAGGGTTAAAGGACGTGCAATGGAAATATTAGAGAGCAAGGAAAGGTGACAAGACGGAGAGAAAAGAAAAGAACCCTTTTATTAAGTACCGAGTAGAACTTTTGTTATGAAATATGAAATAGCAGAAGATGCATTTATTGCCAAATCCTTGAGTGTTACTTGTTTTTAATATAGAATGTATGTTTGCACGAAGGTACGCTTCTCTAGGAGAAATTACTCAAAAAGTCTTAGACCTATTCTATGGATACTATTTCAGTCCTCTTTTTTAATTTGGCCAAATAAAATAATTTCCAGAGAAGATATGCTTTTATATGAGAACCCTAGATCTTTTAAAGATCTTACTGAATTTCATCCAACCAATTTAGATTAAAAAAATTTGACGTAAAGGTCTACTCAACGCAGCTCATACTACGTGGCATGACTAGCAATTTGACATGTATGATTTTACTCAATATGATGTCGATTTGAGAAATTTTATAATTTTTTTATTTCTTTTGTTTCCTTTCCTTTCTTTCTTTTTTTCTTCCTTTCTCCCGGATTTGTGTTCCATACACTGATCGTGCACTGAATGGCCTGCCCTCGATCACCGCCCTCGATCACCACCCTCTTCACTGCCTCCATTCATGGGATCAACGATGCATCACGTATGGAACAACAGCTAGGTGGGGGTGCTGATGGTGGCGGTGCTGCAAGAAGATGTGGAGGGGCTGAGAAGGGTGCTGCCGTCGGACAAGGTCGGGGAGCTGAGGAGGGCACTGAGGAGGGCACCACTCGAGGGTGAGACACACTCGAACCCAAATGCAGACACCTCTTCTTGAAACAGTATGATCGAATATACCCATTTATATATATTTTCAATAGCAATTTCAATGATGTATGCTTTTGGATGGTATGTTTACTACGTGATTTGTATTTCCTCTTCTTTTTAAAGCTAGACACCTTGCACAACCACGTTAAATTCACTGGACTCTACTTCATGGATAGAGTAGAAATTTTGTCGACATAGTTTTTCTTTATATTTGAATCCTACTATTATCAATGAATGACCAACAAACTACCTCAAATGTATTGTTCTATAAATCATCCAACCCTTAATTGATTAGTCAATTATGCAGATTTTTGCGCATATCTTTTTGTTTCATTCAGTTGATATTGTCTTTAATTTATTTGTTATTTTTATCACTCTCTAATGAGTGTTTCTCTTCTCAGGTTGAGGAAAGCCAATGATTTGACAAATAACTTGGTAGACAACTAATTGTCGTAATTTACCCGAGGTCATTCGGGTTCCATCCCTTAATTGCACCTATGTGGGCCAGAGCATCTCGCCACTTCCTTGACTTCGTGGGGAAATTGCGCCTTGTGCTTCGGAGACGTATCCCATACAGTCGAGTCTTACGCTTAACATCATTAAAAATGTGGGAAGGATACTTTTACTCCCTTTTGATTTCGTCGTGTTGTCCACTATAACATGCACAGGCTGACATTATTAGCATAAAATGAAAAAGTTAGCAATTAACATTTAGTTCAACATGGAAAAAATCATGTATTTTACCAAAGGATAGAAAAAAATTCAATGTTACAAGGGATCGAAATAAATTTGTCAGCCACAACCATGAGCGAGCGAGAGAGAGGAGGGAGGGGGGATGAACGGTTGATCCAACCTACTGATGGGGTGCTAGTGGTGATTAGCGACAAGACACTATCCGGCTGAATTGCCGGAAAATTACCAAGAAAGTCTTAAACCTAATGTATTCATGCTAATTCAATTCTAAATCTTTTAATTTATCAATTTAATTCTAAACATTTTGACTATTTTCCAATTTAATCCATTCAGTCAATTTTGTCTAGAATCGCTGACGTAGATGTCAACCGTCCAACATGGCACCGCCAATGCTGACGTTGATAATTTTTTTAATTTTTTTTTATTGTGGCTGGCGAGTGTCGCGACCCTCACTCAAGCCCTTGCCGGCCACGGGCAAAATACCCTCGCTCAAGTGAGGCCGTCCCTCGCTTGTGGCTGGCGAGGACAACCCTCGCCGGATCGAGCGAGGGCGACCCTTGCCCTGCCCTCTTTGGCCATCGCCTGTGGCTGGTCTCTAGCCATCTTCTGAGATCGGCTGTCGACGAAAAGGAAAGGAAAAAATGAAAAAAAAATTAGGAAAATTTTAAAAATTATCCACGTCAGCACTACTATGCCACATAAGATGGCTGATGTCAACTGGACCACCACGTTAGTATTTTCCAGTTAAAATTAGTTGAAAGAACTACATTGGCAAATCGTCAAAATGTTTAGGACTGCATTGGCACAACTGAAAGGTTTAGGATTGAATTGAAACAAACGCAATAGATTTAGAACTTTTTGGTAATTTTCCTCTTGAATTGCAATTAGATAAACGAATATCTTGATTTAATAGAGATTTGTCATTTGCCGACCTGCAGTAAAATGGAATAAGTTGTGTCTAACTGGCCAAAACATGCTTGCATTATATCAATTGTGGGGCAAAACCTAAAAAAAATTCAGAAATTTTTAAAAAAATTACAAAAAATTTCCACGTAAACGCCAACAGTATTATGTAGGATGGCCGCGTCCACGTCGGCAATTTCCGGCTAAAATTAACCGGAAGAACTATATTAACAAATCGTTAAAACGTTTAGGAATAAATTAGCTAAATTAAAAATATTTAAAATTGAATTGGCCACCATACAATTGATTTAAGATTTTTCCAGCAATTTTTCCAGCATCCGTGTGACCTCCAATAAAAAAAAGACAAATCTCGATCTCCGAATTGCCCCGGAGAAGTCTGATGGCACGCATTAGCTAGCGATGTTCTTCTCATTGTACTACGACCAGTGCAATGTTAAAAGCATCGTGCGAAAATGGCAACAGTGGAATTGAGTCATGCATGGAAGATAATTAAGCAAGCTTCCTCTGCTGCATAATTAGGACAACAATACAAAGCTAGGCAACCCAATCAGCGTACGAGCTGAACATATCAGCGTCGAACTTCATCTGTAGGATAGAGAAAGAAAGAAATTCAGTGGCATGAACTGCTATCGAGTACCCATTACAAAACATCGCTGTTGTTCCTGCTGGCCTCGATGATTTCAATAAAGGATGAACATTTATAAATAGCAGATTCAAGGCTATAACTTATAAGCCGCAGTCCTAACATACTTAGAGTCCTAACCTACTTGCTTTATGATTAACTGAGCAATGTCAACAAAAGCATATGATTTAAAAGGTCGAAGGCCAAGTGAAGATACTTAAGCTATAATTTGTACATTTTGAATATTTATTTAATGGTTAATAGCATCCACAACGTCCAATAGAACATCTTCTAATTCTTGAGATCAGCTGACTGGAGTGCTTCAAAAGTTATGAGAACGGAAATAGCGGGAGGGCGTGTAATTTAGTTAAAATTTTGATAATTAGCTCTAGAAAGGAATATCTCTAGCAATTATGGGGGAGAAGAATTATAGCAGAAAGTGAAATAACGTTAGAAAAAGAGAAAAAGAGAAGGCTCCGTGTGTTCACTCATTTTTGGGGATAAGGCATCAATTTATGCGATATTGTCGTGTCGCTAGAAAATTTTTAAAACCTGAAGCAGCAAGCCACAATGAAAGCTCTCCTATAAACATCAAAACCACCATTGCTCCCGACGAAACCCTCCACGTCAAATTCGCAACCACATCTCTCTTCCACACACTCCTCCTCGATCTCTTCGAACTACCGCCACTCGCATTTGCACGGTCAGACTCAAAAAAAGCTTATGAAAGTATGTGGATCCGCATGATTCTATGCGTCTAAAATGTGATTTGTATTCTTGCGGAAAGTTTTTCGAAGTAATCAAAGTGGATATGATGGGGACCGTGCCAGTTAGATTGGTTTGGCAAACTAGTTTTGAGGCCATTAACATCCTAACATGACTTTTTCTAACGTTTAATTGTCTTGACTTGACGGATTTGGGACATGAAGCATGATCGATAGGATGAGCACAAGTGCTTTATCGCCCTTCAAGTTATCGGCTGTTCTTTTCATCGATGACTTTTGTTATTTACCAAACTCTACTATTATCGACTAAGTCTGTCACTTGTCGATTATAATTAAATATTGGTCATTTTTTGGGCGTCGATAAATTGTCATGGCTAACCTAGTTCTATTTGGTTTTGAGTTTATTCTCCATCTCAAAGTTTTGGTCGAGTTTAGAAGTTTGTCTCTAGATAGCCCGCTTTTTTATATAAACGGTCCCTAAACTTTGTCCCAATGTGTATTGTGATCCCTAAACTTTTAATTTGTTCAATGTAATTAAAAGCTGTATGCCTTCATGGACGCCAAGACCCACTCAAGATCTAATTGTTGTAGAGCCATCACCATGAACAGAATTTGATGATTAATGATCGCGTGAACTGATGTAATTGCGGACCCAAGATCTTAGATCTTTTTGTATAAACCAGTTGGTTAAAGAGACGAGGTTTTCCAGAAACTAAAATATCAAACTTGAGATTGGGATTGGCCAGAAAAACAAAATCGGGATTAGCCAGAAGCTTGATGATACCCGTACGCAAACGGGTGGACCTTGGGCAGATCGGCCTTCGAGTCTTTCGACTGAAGAAAGCACCGTCTCTCTCTCTCTCTTCTAGAGATTTTTCTAGAATGATCTTTACATATATCTTTTGTTTATAGAAGTAGTTGGAAATAGAGGTAGAAAAGAAGCCCACATCAGTGTGCGTAGAAGAATCCAAGAAATAATCCATGATCAAGTAACTCGGGTAATAGTCAAAAGAGTGTGGATTAAATGGAGAACACGAGGCCTATGCATCTCCTACTTTCACAAGAGTTTGTCCGTGAAGAAAGCCTATAAATAGGCATATCCCCTCCCTAATTGCAGCAAAGTAGAGAGGAGAGAAGAAAACGAGTGTAGAGATTGGTGAGGAGTGAGGTGTGTGTGGGTGTGACATGAGGAATTTGTGATCGAGCGAGCGAGTAAAATAAGTGTGTATACTTTAATAAAAGTTTCATATAAATAGTGCAGGTAAAATCAACTTCTCGTTCTTGTTGCTCTTGTTATCATTGATGTCCTGATCGTCTTCGTGATGTCGTCCTTCTTCTTAGCTTCTTTGGCCGTGTTGATTTATCTCTCGAGTTTGAATCATTATGAAATCCGGCCAATTGGATAAATATTAAAGATAGACACTACAACACAAAATAAAGACTCACCTATATCCCTTCTGTTTGGGCACACAAAAGATAGACCTCTTGCACTACAGACAAAAGTTATGGGCACATATGTATGCTTGTGGGGCCAAAAGAAAATATAGGTCCCTCTAGTTTTTAGCCCTTGGTTGTCCCTTTGAGTGAAACCACAGTGAGTTCTGAGGGTCTTTAACCGAGAAGCAGAACATTGACCGCAAGTCGATTCCTTCTTCGAACTGTAGCCTCCAGAAGCAAGTTTAATGGCTGCACAGTGACTTCCATAGGGAGCCCGCACGAAGAACGAAAGGAGGAACCAAAGAGTGCGGAGCTCGTTGCTTGGCCGAGAGCTACACACGTGAAATTTGTGCTGTGAGTTCATTTTATCCATTTGAGTGGTTTATTTATAAACACTTGGACTTCGAATTTAATTTAGGTGCGAAAAACACTCGAGCATATAAGTGAGCGATTGTAACTTAGATTATTCGATTATTAGTAGATTATTTGCTGCTGGCTCTCCCCATGAATATATGTACCGATACGTCGAACCGAACCACGTAAATCTTAAATGTCATTTATGTTCCTCGTTATTTTTATGGTAATTTCGCATTGGACTTAATTTGCAAGATCCGAATTAGCTTCCGCATTAGCTAATCTTACAAGGGTCCGGCCCGAACGGGGCAGAAAAAATCAAGTGCTTGTCCGGTTTTGTTATCGTCTTTCTTGTTGTACCGATCTTGTTATCGTCCTTCTTCTGAGCCTCTTTGGCCGGTTCGACCAAGATTATCTCCGTGGGAAACAGCTTCCTCAGCTTCTCCGCGAGCTCCACAGGATCCATATGTCCGGCCACCGTCAGCTTCTTGTCCTTCATGTCCATGCAGATCGACTCAATCCCTGCACATAAGCAGCCAAAGTCACACTCTGTTTTGACTCGGATTTCTTAACTGCAAAAATTAAGATCTGGGATTTGTTCTTTTTGTAGAATTAGAGAGACACTGGTGAGGAGAAAGCTTGATCTGATTGATACCTGCAAATCCACTGGCTATCTTCATGACCTTCTTCTTTTCCTTGTCGTCGTGCAAATCCAGCTTGAACACCGCTTTCTGTCACCAAAAACAAGAACCAGAGCAACGTCAAAATAAATCCCTTTTAGCCCGACAAGGACCACTTTCTCTTCAACCGCTATAAGTAAAAGTCCCAGATCGCTAAAGAAAGGTTGAAGGGAATAAAAATGAGATACACGATTCCGAATATGTACGGCAACACTTGGGGGTGAGTGATTACCAGCATGTGTTTTTTTAGGTGTGTTGGATTTGACGGAACTAGTGATTGTACATTTTAAGTATATAGAAGAATCAAAGAGAAAGGTCTAAGAGTCCTGCAGGCTTTTTCTCTTCTCTTCTCGTATAAGTAGAGAGAGAGAGAGAGAGAGAGAAGTGAAGAAGTCGAGCAGAGGAAGTAGCAAGCGAGTGCGTGAGGAGAATCTAGGGGATGATGTGGAGTTAAGAGTTATGTAGGAGATGTAGTCAACCAGAGTCAACTTTGCCTTAGTCAAAGTTATGCAACTCGTGGTCATCTCGTACGACTGAGCATTGAATCTCCCAGTATCTTCTAAAGGCAGCCGTTTCAAGCCATGTTTTCGAAATCTATAATTTGTATTATCTTATCTACAAAAGCAATTTTCTACAACATTTAAAGAATAATTAAATGAATGTAGTGGCAATATTAAAGAACCAAAACTATTCAACACCAAGAAGGCAAGGAGAGATAAGTGACTAAGATAGAAAAAGAATATGCAACCTAGGTAATTAAAAGTACAACAGAAAATAGGAACCTCAAAAGTGGGAGGAAGGATTACTTTATGAACCGCAGATATCCAACGCCAAACGGTAGTAAAGAAAAGTAACTGATGTAACGATAAAAATGAGCAACCCAAGAGAAGAAACAAGAGAATCAGCTCACAATCATCTCAACTAATCACTCACCAGCATTCCCACGTTGCAAGATTCTTTGCTCGTCCTCCAAGCTGTGGCCTTTTCCCCGCCTTCAGTCTTTGTCCGTAAAAGAGAGAGAGAGAGAGTGACTAACGCAATTAATTACGATGCAACATAATATGGCAACTTTAAAATGGCGGATACCGTGTGGCTAAAGAATGGAGGATATTTGGCCAAAAAAGGCAGCATGGCTTCCTAAGTTTTTTTTTTTGGTCAAGATGGCTCCCTCTAAGTTAGAGGCTCTAACATACAAGACTTTCTTTTAAATTTTATTCCTTCCTCTACTACTACTACCTAGTATTGTTTTTGGTAGATGCTAACGAGTTATGGGAGATGGATCATCATAATATCAAACATTTATACCACAAATTAGCTACCCCTTGTTGATCATTCATTTTCCCATGTGCCCACACCTGACAGAATCTAATGAGCTTTTTTTTTTTTCCTTTTGTACAACCGTGATCAAATCATTTGACATTAATTTCTCCACAGCTTATTAATGCAATAATAATAATCCATAATTAAAATCATTATATGTATAATGTGAAGTCTTTACATTCATTATGCCTATTGCAAAATAAAAAGAATCAGTAGACAATGACATGATATGATGTTTGTGAAATATATAATATCTGATTTATTATCTGATATCTTATCTGTGAAAGCAATTTTTATGAATTAATTATTTAAAGAATGATTTCATGTGTTGACTGGCTATATTAAAGAGCCAAAAACTATGCAACAGAAAATGGGAACCTCAAAAGAGCGGGGGGCGTTTGAGTGACTCGATGTAAGGAAATAAAATCAGCAACCTAAGAGAAGAAACAAGAGAATCAGCTTCCAATCGTCTCCGCTAATCACTCACCTTCTCCTTTTCCTTTACCTTTTCCTGTTCCTTGGTGCAAGATTCTTCGCTTGTCGTTGTGGTCCTTTCCCCGCCTTCAGTCTTTGTCCGTGAAGTGAGAGAAAATGAGACAGAGTGAGTGAGTAATGCAATTACGGTGCAAGGAAAAATGGCGACTTTAAATGGCTTCCTCTAACACACAAGACTTTCTTTTACATTTTATTCCTTCCTCTACTAGCACAAGAGTACCTCTTCATATTGCACTCATGCTTATTTTACGTATTGTTTTCATAGATGCTAACGAATTACAGGAGATGGACCATCATAATATCAAACATATATACCACGAATTAGCTGCCCCTTGTTCATCATTCAATTTCCCATGTGACGGCACCCGACATAATCTAATAAGCTTTTTTTTTCTTTTGTACAACTGTGATCAAATCATTTGACATTAATTTCACCACAACTCATTAATGCAATAATCGGATCGAATATTCCATAATTACAAATATTATACGTATAATGTGAAACTTGTACATTCATTATGCCTATTGAAAAATGAATATACAACTCATTTTCCGTTTGTACGACTGTGAAATGTTAATTGAAAATGCACTAACTCATTTTGAACAGAATATTATCTATTGCATGGTTTATGAAGTTAAGAAAATAAATAATGATGCATGGGCAACAAAATTAGTAAAAAATATTCGGTCAAGAAAAGTGAGTCAGTGCATTTTAGGTAACACTTACCGGCCATGCTGACTGAACGGGGTGGGGGGTAGTCTATAATTTTTAAAGTTTGCAGCCTATTGTTCAACAATGCCAAAGGTTTTTTTTTTTTTTGGTCGGGAGCAATGCCAAAGTTCAAGAGGGCAATTATTATTACAAATATCAACTGAAACTATAACAAATCAATTCACGCACGTGTACTGTTTATTGATGAAGAAGATGTCGCACCTTGTCTGACTTGGATTCAAAGTTTGATTTATCCAGAAGAATCTCGTCTCTGTAGCTCTTCAAAGAGATTCCAAAGGCGTTGTCCTGAGTAGAATCTTTGATAAAGTCTCCACACCCGTGTATTTTGACGAGGCAATCATCCGGTATATTTGTGCAAGATGCATCTATCAAGCTTCTCAATGACGGGCACTGTGTGACCTCCAAGGATTTCAGAGACTCTAGGTCATTTAGGCCCTCAACATTAATAAGTTGTCTACACCTTTGGATTCTCAAATGCTCCATGTTCATCGAGTACCGCAAACCACCTATTTTTGTTAGAGATTCACACTCATAAACGCTCAAGGATTCCAATGATTTCGAAAGATGGTCAACTTGGATCTCAACTAACTCTTGACAACATGACACATGCACTTGCCACAGCTTCCTTAATTCCAAAGGACTGGATAATCTCTGAAGCCGTTTACAATGGTAAACACTTAATTTCTCCAGTCGTGGAAGTCTATCTAGTGGAATGTCTTCCATTTCACACCAATAGAACTCCAAAGTCGACAAATTTCTCAAACTCCAGTTTGAGGACGGAAGCTGCACGAGGGTTTCTAGGTCTAAGCAAGACAACTTAAGCTCTTCCAGGTGAGAAAGAGAAGCCAACTCTGGAGGTGTAGGGACGTTTAGCAAATCTAACTCTAACTTTTTCAATCTAGATAACCTCCCAATCCACCTTAAGTTGCTTCCTGTGATTAGGTTTGATTTCTTTTTATCCCCAGAGCCATCACTTAGTTGCAGTTCAACCAAGTTAGTTTGGTTCGACAGATTAGGGACTGAGCGCAATGATTTCGATTCAAGAAGTAGGCAGGTCAAACTTGTGGGAAGCTCTGGCAACACTTGAATCTCATGACACGACCTTAAGTTTAGGGTTTGGAGGTGATGAAGCATGTTGATTGTCTTTGGAATTCCGTAAATACGTGTGTGCTCTAAATTTAGGATTCTTAAAGATGACAATTCTCCAATTCCAGCAGGAATTTCACCTGTCATTTCATTACGCCCACAGAGATCCAACTCTTCAAGAGTTACCAATGTATTGATGCCACTGGGTAACTGCCAAACATGATGCTCCCGATCAATTAATGCACCTATTTGTAAACGCAAGATGCGTAATGATTTTAACATTCCAATGGAGTTGGGAAGTTCTCTTATTATCGTGTCTGTCAAAGAAAAATTCTCAAGTTTCAGACTACAAATATTTGTATTTTAACTTTTCATTGGAGCTTGGAAGTTTGGCAATGTACGTACCTGATAAGTCTAACTCCGTCAATGAAGTTAAATTCCCAAGTGAGCCCGGAAGTTCTCTCAACCCTCTACAACCTGACATTGAGAAGTGCTTAAGCTTCACTAGTGCCCCCACTTCATCAGGCAAATCCGTAAGACCCCCGCACTCTTCGATCTTTAACTCAATCAACGATTGTAGATCTCCGATGAAGCTCTCAATTCTCTTTAGACCAGAGCAGTTTGCAAGAGTCAACCTCTCTAAACATGAGGATTTTGAGAAGTCTGGAATTGTCGTTATGCGAGTACACCGAGTAAGGGACAGAACTTTCAAATTTTGTGCCCCCTGTAAAAATGAATGGCATTTTAAGTGTAAGAACCAGTGCATAGCACACATGGGAACTATCCTACTAGAATTAAAACGTGTAATTTACCTTGATCAAGTCCCATGCTTTTGAATCATCCTTGAAGTCAATAGCATCAAATTTACAAACAACAAGACGGTCGAAATACATATTGCTTGCTCTAAAATCCAAAGGAGAATGCCAAGAAAACCATCTCAAATTTGAACGGCATCTTGTAAAGTCCCCAGCAAAAGTTCCCCAGTTTAACTCGAGAAATCTTAGGTTTTGTAACCTTTCAAAGTCCTCATTTGTAATATCTATGGAGTCAACGGACCTAAATATCTTAAGTGCTTGAACCTCGTCCTTCATCTGCAAGTAAAATTTTGCATTGATGTGAAAAAAAATTGTCAACTTCCAACCACTATGTTTACAACTCGAATTAGCAGAAAAAAAATTATAAAGATCCTAAACTAAAAATGAATCCTTAAAATCAGGATATACAACTTCTATTTGAAAATGGAAGGTTTCTTAATTACCTTTTTGGTTCTTATGATTTCAAGGGCTTCTTTTGCAATCCACAACCTACTTCGCTTTCCAGGGTTGAATCGACTTTCTTGACGGACAATACGCCTTCCAAGGTCTATTAGTTGATCATGCATCCAGATCTTATCATTGTCCAATAGCTTTATCAAGCACCTATCAGTAAGGACTTTAATTCCTTTTATGGGATAAAATTGACAATCGGCCCACATGTAAATTGCATCGGTCTTATTCTCATTGAACAAGAAGCATGCGATATCGAGAAAAATTTGTTGCTGATGTTTGTCTAGGTTATCATAACTAATCCTCAACGTCTCCAGAATCTCTTCCGCGGGTACTTCCCTTAACCTGACCAACGTCTCTTGCCAAAATGCTTTGTCTTTCCCATTAAGTAACGAACCTATCACCTTAATGACCAAAGGAAGCCCTCCCATATTTGAGACAATTTTACTTGACAGCCGATGATAATCATTCGAAGGAAAGTCTCTACCAAAGGCATGCTGACAAAAAAGCTGAAGTGCAAGACCATCATCTATCTTTAGCATCTCATACCATAGAATTTCATCTTCAAGTCCCTTAACATTCAGAATAATTTTGTTTCTCGTTGTAATGATTACCCTAGATCCTGAATATAATGAATAACCTCCTATTAATTTCTCAATGTGCTCTTTTTTATCAACATCATCCAGAACCACAAGGAGCTTCTCAGTGCTGAGTGTGTCTCCAATCGTCCTCATTGCTTGTTCACTGTCCATTAATTGTTCTGCAGATGGAGAACCAACAATGTTAGATAGTAATTTTTTCTGCAACTGGACTATGCCGTCCTTGGTCGACGAGCTCTCTCGAACATTCTCAAGGAAGCTACAACACTTTCCGAAGTTGGAAGATAGTTGATTAAAGACAACCTTGGCAAGAGTTGTTTTACCGATGCCACCCATTCCATAAATTCCAATGCACCGCACATCACGATGGTTGACATCTAATAACTCTGTCAAGTGTTTTACTCGATCCTCAAGTCCAACTAAATGTTCGGTCACTGATTTTTGTTTTATCTCCAGCTTCTCCAAAACCTTTTCAACAACCAATTTGACAATTGCTGCTTGGCTGCAATATATACAAGCGCTTTCATTAATTGACTAGATTAATTTCTTACCCACACATCACACATGAATTTTTTCACCGAATTTTAGTTCCCTTGTGTAATTGTTGTTTCTTGAGGGTACTCAGAAACGTGTAAAATAAAGTCAGCAGTGGAAGCGATCTCTAATGTATTCCGTCCTTTACCCGTAAATGAAAATGGAAACTGATACTCTTTTCACATGGGTAAACAGATTTTGTGGTTGAAATTTTTGTCTGAAGAAGCAACCTGTGTATATGAATGCAAAATCTAAAGTTGATTTTGGTAATCATCCCAAATAATAATTGCAAATGGGTGCTCTTGTATATTCTTAGCCTTGATCAGAATAGCATTCACAGATGTCATTGAAGTGATTGACATCGTAGGCGAAAATTTCAGGGAAGATTTTAAAAGCAGCGGATGGAAAGTGGAATGAGAGAGCAACGTGGTATCCCTAAAACTGAAAAAAGAAATAGGTAGGAATCTTAAAAGAGTATTACCTTTGATCCTTTTTCACGTTCCATCCCTTGATTTCATCTATCTCTGCAAGAGCCTTTCTCCATGCCTTGACTTCGTCAGGAAACTTGTTCCCGTGTTCCCGTAAAGCGTCGGTGTATCGTGGAGTCTTAAGTTTAACATCCTCAGGTTCTACATCCAGAAAAATGGGAAGAATACTTTTTTCACTCTCTGACTTAGAAACGTTGTCTATTATGTGCGCAAGCTCACGGAGACACCATTTACTCGAAGCATAACTCCGAGAGAAGATGGGTATGTAGATTATGGAGCTGTTGATAGCTTTTAGAAGGTTCCCACCAATCACTTCACCTTCCTGGAGTTCATCCTCGTCCTTAAATACACTAACTCCGGCATCTACCAAACCGTGATAGAGGAAATCTGTGAATCCATGGCGACAGTCAGGCCCTCTGAAACTCAAGAACACATGGAACTCACTTTCTAAGGCTCGTGCAGCATCACAACTCGATCCGGCCTCTGAGTTTGCCATAGCTAGGAAGCTTGTTGCTTCCAGATCTCTCTCTCTCTCACCTAAAGAGAAAAAATCTTGGTGTGGCGTGGCCTGGCAAGAAATGAGCTGAGGTTTTGGACATGAACAAGGAAAGTGAATGCCAATACCTAAAAAACATGGCCGGCTCACTTTAAAGTCAAAGATTAATTGTCTTTTTCCCACCTAACGTTCTGCATAAGCAAGTGGACACTGGGGAAGGCAACGTTCTGCGTAAGCAAGTGGACACAGGGGAAGGCAACGTTCTGCGTAAGCAAGTGGACACAGGGGAAGGTGTCCAAGACTTTTTAACAAGTTTGGAATTTTTAAAGACTCCTTGGAGACCATAAAGGCCAATGAGAAGTTTTTTTTTTCATTTTAAAAATGGCGTCAGGTCTCTAAATTATTGCAAAATGTGGGAAAAATTCTCTCAATTTTTTTTGTGCACTTGTATTTCTAAACTGTAGACTCCTTTTTTCAAGTTGGTCCTTCCCTTAAAAGTATAAATGGAGATGCGATGATGTTGCATCTCATGGGGGTAATTATAATATAAAAATTGTTTTCAAATTTAAAAAAACCTTGAAAAAAAAAATCAAGAGGTGAAGGGGAAGGATAGTGGAGTCAGGCGGCACATGAGAAGCGCCGGTGGAGAGAGAGATTGAGAAAGTATTTAGTAATTAGGTAGAGCCTCGTCAATGGCTGACGTGGCAAATATTTTTATTTCAACTCCAATCAGAAATTGAGACGTGTCCATAACGTGACAAGTAAATAAAAAATATAAAAAATCAACTTCTCTTCATCTTCCTCATCTGTCCATAGCCAACTCCTATATCCAGTCACTAGAGAAGTCCTCCGCCCTGCGTCAAAGCCGACCACTGTTGCGCGTCCTTGGCCGAGCCACTCCCTTTGTCGTCGACAGCGGCCATGCTCGTCCATCGTCACTCGAGTTCCCTCTTCCTTCGCTGCGGCAAATCAAATTCGGTTGCTCAATATGGAGTCATGGCGACCAGATCTCTGGACTTCGTTGCTCGCCATTATTGCAGTCGGTGGATGGACGAAGGCAGAGGGGATGAGGCATGTGAGCATGGGGAGACAGTGCAGCAGCATGAATTGTACAGCATGCTCAGCGCACTCACCGCCAAGCGCGTGCGCTGTTTCCTTTTCCAATCAACATGCGTTTTTATTTTTTATTTTTTGATTAATACAAACGGTCATGAGTACCGACGGTAAATAAAAAAATATATAGGAGTTAGTTAATTAGGTGATAATTTTACCAATAAGGACTCAACCCTTCTTTTTATTTTCCCAGTAGCTGCTTTCATTAGTCTTTTCCTTTTTGCAAAGTACTAGCTATTAGCCTCGCTTGACATTCCAAAGTTTTTTTGAACGTGAATTCTTTTCTCGATTTACAACAATCACAACAAAACTCATCCGACATTATTTAAGCTCAAACAATATATATAAACGAAAAAAAAAAGAGAGAATCTTCACGCTGAACCAACCACCCCTAAAAATCCCAACAAAACCATCACGCATTCCAGCTAATCATCGAATTTCCCTAGGAAAATACGCTTTTCTCCGAAAGCAAGAGAAACAGGAAAAGGGAAAAAAAGGAAAAACGAAAAAATAATTGTGTAGAATAGCCCCATTGACTGGCCTTAATTATTGCTCCTACCAAACAAATGCACCATCGACGGTTTTCGTGGAGATGATGTAAGCCTCCATGAGCTCTCCCTCATTCCCTGAACTCATCCTCTTCCTCCTCCATGCCTCAATCCCGCTCTATCAAGGTCATTCCCTTGTAGAACCAGACTGCCTTGCCGCCTTCAGCAGCAGTGGCTATTAGTTTGTTTAATTGATGATTGTTTACCAACAATAGTTGAAGGGCCTAATTAAACATTTTGTAGTAGGAACTCCCAAAATCTTTATACTTTTTTTTTGTGTGCTTTTGGTAAGGCTCTTTGATCAACTTATACATGACCAATAGCCTGTGCAATGCACGACATAATCAAAAACTAAGTGGAGAATGATAGTTTCTAAAATTCTGAGACTTTAATGATTACTCGTCAACACTATTGATTGTTGTAGGTAAGACATTTTGCATAAAAAAATATATTGTACCCACTAAATATTTTATCAAAATTCGTACACATGCAAAGAACGAAACTGAACAAGCCTTCGGTTAGTTCATCTCTCTCTTCTTCCTCCACTAATCTATGTAATGTAGAAGGAAATAGAAAGAATGTGCCACAATTAATGATTAATGATTAGTCTTCAATTCTCCCAGAACAGAAGAAGGGACCAATACGAAAACAGAAAAGAAATAAAAGGCTAATTTGCATGTACATGGTCCTAATACTAGCTTCTAGTCATTAGAAATTCTTAACTCACCAAAAAGAACTCATGTTTGCATTATTAATTCTTTTCTAGCTCCTAATTTGACCAAAAAAAATACTTGCTCCTAAAGTTTCTTCTTTAATTTTTGGGAGACTGTTTCTGGTAATTAAATGTGGATGAATTATTTGTTACATGTCGTTTAAGGCAATGCCTAGAAAGACACGTTGGTCTTGGTTTGTCTATTTTCTACGATTGCTAGGACAATGACAGAATAAAAACATAATGGTTGCAGTAAAATGGATTCGTTTATATAGTTTTTGTAGCTAAAACATGATGGAGGAGAGGAACCAAATTCTGAAAACAAAGAATTGTTAAAAGTTAAAAGTTTTAACAGTGATTTGTTTTTACCAGTTAACTAATTAATCAGTCTCCGATGAGACAAAATGCCAGCAAGTTTTTGCAGAATTTTGTGTTCCCTAAGGCTGCATGTGGCACAGCTTTAAAGTCCTTTAAGCCCATAGAGACCTTTGGCAAAATGCCGAGGTGTTTGGCGATGAAAATGTAAAGGCGTTTGAGGCAAAGATAGCATTTCCTAATGTTCGTCTTCTTTGAGCAACCAAGCGCACCTTGTTCATCGTTCTAGTTTTTTGTCAACGGATGTCAATGCTTGCCGAGGGCCACCGAGATCATGCCACTCTTTGTAGGGTTCCTCAAGTGCTAAAAACGCAACGGAATTTATAAACCGAAATCCTAGACAGGATCCATGCGTATATTAAAATCTAAATAGAAGTTCGACACGTACCTTTTTGCAGATCGAAGGTAAATTGACAATCGATTGTGTCTGGATTAGCGCCCCAAGTGTTGCGCCTCTATTAGTATCCACATACACGAACGAAAGTCTCCAACGATCCAAGTGCTAGCTAAAGATCTTGGACTTCTTTTTCCTGATCGCCTTTGATCTTCGAGACTTTCTCAAAGATCTTTGAACAGACAACGATTATCTTCATATTCTCTTGGAGTCGTTTTTTTCTCTCTTAGGGTTTTTTGTCACCCACACGCTATATATATATATATATATAGCCTCATTATCTATGCGAATTAAAAGAAGTGGGGCCGGGCGATTTGGGCCCGCCAAACTGTCCACCTTCAATCGTACGTTTAATCGTTATCTCATAACATGCACGACCGCGTAGATAAGTTGAATAGAAGAATAAATTAAAATCTACTTCTTATTTTAAGTAAATCCCGGCGCATAGAAAATATTAACTCAGTTCGCTATTGTGTGTGACCCCGTAGGTTCACTAAATATTAGCAGTGTGCTCAAAATCCTTTTTGGCCCACAAGTCATAAGCGGTTACTAGCAAGACATTATGACTACCTAAGTATAGTGAAGGTCGGTTTTCCGACACAACCTAATCCACAACTAATATTAGAGTATCAACCTCGATTGATTCTTAGGGTAGACCACTAACACCCTTGGCCTTGCCTCGCTGCCCGAGGTCACGCCACAATTGGCATCGCCTTGCTTGGGCCACTCAAGGTCCTATGAGATCTAGGTTCACTTGGCCTTGCTCGCTTGGGCAGCCCGTTCCCTTGGCTGTGGTTTGGCTGGATAGTAGACAGGATCAGTGGAAATCTTGTCAATCTATTTATGCGCATCACTAATTAGATGACGAGGCATTTGACTACCTTAAGAGAGTCATACTTACTCCCTCCATTTACTTGCGCTTGGTTGAATTTCTTCACTTTGACGTTCAGAGCATTGGGCAGAAATCACATTGCGTGAGCATCTGCAGGGACCATTGCAATGCTTTGTTTTAATTATTCAGTCGGATTCTCTTTGTCTCTACCAATTCTGAGTTGACTGTTCGACGCCCAAGGAAGACCCCCGAAGGAGTCGTTCCCAATCTGTCCCCCGGCCGGCACATGAGGACGCGCTCTCGCCTAGAGCAGCTTGAGCAGTCCGTCGACAATCGATAGGTTCGAGATTAGGACCCCCCTGCCTAGTCCTCAGAGCCAATCTTTTTGCTGAGGTTACGGATCAATTTTGCCGACTTCCCTTACCTAAATCGTTCCATCGACCAGAGGCTATTCATCTTGGATACCTGATGCGGTTATGAGTATGACTGGGCATGGACGGTACTCAGTCCTTTAGATTTTCAAGGGCCGCCGGGGGCACACCGGACACCACACGACATGCGGTGCTCTTCCAGCCGCTAGACCCTACCTCTGGTTGAGCCATTTCCAGGATGGGCAAGCTTTTAAAAAAATGGATAACTCTTCCTGAGGCCCCTGCCAATGTCTCTGGACTCCCTAACATCATTAGCCACCACGTCTCGGTTCAGAAATTTTAACCCGATTTCTTTTCGAAGCTCGCACACGAAGTACTATCAGACGGGCTTCCCCTGTCTCTTAAGATCGACTAACCCAGGTACAAGTGCCATTCACATGGAACCTTTCCCCTCTTCGGTCTTCAAAGTTCTCATTTGAATATTTGCTACTACCACCAAGATCTGCACTTACGGCCGCTCTGCCCCCCAGGTTTTGCAGCGGCCGCCGTGTCCTCCTACTCAACGAGGCCTGGACTTTCTCCCATTTGCCTAAGTCACAACACTTTCATACATTCAGTTTTTCGAACCACACTGTAGATTCCTTTACTAAAAACCTTCAACCTTCTCTTGCTAATGTGTCTCAACTGAATATTTGTCACGCCCCGTACCCCACGAAGCGCGAGCATCCCGCCACAGGTCGATTTGGTGCGACGCCCCAGGACGCGTCGTCGACCCAACACCCAACGC